ACCAGTGCTTTTTCGGCGTGTGCAACGGTCTCGGGGACCACTTGGCGGGATGATGGTAGTGAGGTGTCTCTTCAGATGGTGCTGGAAAACGGGGTCGTTCGGTCGGGGAGGCCCCCGGTGCGTGCGAGTCTGTCGTCGTTTTCGTCGTCGTGTTCGTGGTGTCGCGTCGTCCAGTGCTAGTCGGAGGTGCACGGCTTGGTGGTCGGAGCCGAGGTCGGGGCACGTCTCTGCGAACGAATCCAGGACCAAATGCCGGGCCTGCTGATCCATCAGAATGTAGTCGATCTGCGTTTGCTTGTGGTTGGTGCCAGCGCTCGTGTACGTGAACACGCTGTCGAAATGCTGGTAAAACATCGCGTTTGTGATTGTGAATATGCGCACGCACGCCCACGATCGTAGCCAGGTGCCGCGCTGGTTGCACCCGCTCTGCCCGTGGTTGCCAATAGTACGCTTCTCTGCCCTGCTAGCGCTGGAATCGTCGTCGTCGTCGCTCCGTTTACCAACTCGTGCGTTGAAGTCTCCTGTGGCGATGGTCGCCCGGTGCTGTTGGTGGGCATCAGCGTGTATTTCTGCAAGTACGTCGCACATGCATTGCACGTGTTGGTCACTGCATCCTCCATGCGGGAAGTAAGCCGTGACGATTCAGACGATGCGGGAAGTCGACGTCGATGTAGGCGACCCGCTCGTTAACTGCTTTGAGGCTTCGTATGTGTCGCGCATGTCGTTTACGAACAAGGAATGCACCTCGTGTCGGACTGTCATGCCCAGAAACTGCGAATATGTGCGCGCCAGGCTCCGTGACCCAGAACTCTCTTTTTCCTGTCCGCCACGTTTCATTGAGCGCCACAACGTCCCATCGTGCGTCGGAAAGCTCCTGCAAGAGAAGGTCGATCGCTGTGTCGGTAGTGAAACTCCGGGCGTTTTTGTGTATGACCGTGAGGTCCCTATCATCGTTGCTGCGTCGTGGAGTCGTGGTCGTGGTTTGTCGGGAAGCTGGTGTTGCGGTTGTCGCCGTCGGATAATGCGTGTCCAGCGTCGGCTGCTGGTGGAGAGAGCGCGTTGGTCGCAAGTCCCACGGTGCGTCACCTTCTGCGTGGCTGCATCGTCCTCGTCCGCCGCCGGTGCTGGATTGAGGTAGTCGCTGTTGTTGCAATTGTAGATGCTGCTCCGGCTGCGGATGTAAATTCACGCCAGAGGGTGGAGATGAGAGTGGGATGTCGGATATTGGAGGCTGCTGGTCGGAATGCTGGGTTGGAGGGGCCTGGGAGTCGACAGATGGAGGTAGACATGTGGATGGTGGGCGCTGGAGGTCGATTGGTGGAGGCGGGAATGGGGCGTCGGACGCTGGAGGCGGAGTCGCAGAGAACGAGGTCGGAGACACCCGGAACGAATGATGATGACCATGTCCATGTCGAGGCTCCTTGTCAGCACAAGGAGTTGGATACCTTGCACGCGAATGTAGACCTGGCCGCAAGAGTGAAACCATGTCTTGCGAAGCCTTGGAGTGCACGTCGCCTGGCTCCGGGTCGTCAGGCCGAACATCAGGTAGCCGAGAACCGTGCTGATGATGCAGAGTCCTGTCTGGTACCCTGACGGCTTGCCTGGCCGCGTCATGGGTGTCAACAATAATATGTGTATCATGTTCCCCCATTTTGTGAATCCTTTTGGGGGTTAAGGGTGAAACGTTTGGGCTTGGGTGGGGAGTCGGGTGCGTCGGGGCGGGGTTCGTCGGGTCGGAGACGGGGTTGAAACGAGAAGAAAGAGTGGGTTTGGGAGCGCCGTCCTGGGCGTAAGTGAAGTCGAAGGTCGGAGATAAAGCTGCATCTTCCTGCGCATGTCGCCGATGATGCCGGTCGCCAGCAGCTCCTTTGGAGTACTTTGTGGCTCCGTGAAAGAATTGACTATATGGTGAAACTGTTGGAAGCTGCCATCATTGTAGATCTCGCGCCGCTTTCCACTTCGCCATCAATGCTTGGACGTCTTCTTTGACGTTGCCCCCCTCCCCGTACGTGGTCAGCTGGCCGTCCTCGGTGACTTCTGCAATCAGCTTGCCTTTACACTTGATTGTACCTCTATCCCAAAATATTCGGATAGACTGCTGTGCAAGGCCCGCATTCATAAGCTGGCGCTTCACCTGCCCGAGTGTTTTGTCCACGCGGCGTTTTTCGATTAGGTCATTGTTTTTGCACCATAACTTGTCTCCATTTTTCCACTCGGCCTCCTTGCCGCGCCACTTTTTTCACAAATCCTACTTTCCCGGCATGTGTCTTGAACTGTGTTATGCCCATGTTGCCCAGATCGCTGAAGGTGAATGTGCTGTCGATATTGTCCATGACGCTGCTTTCGTTGAGAATGTCGGTCATATGCTGGGTGATGTCCTTCTCTGGGATCTCCGACTCCAGTCCACCGAGGATCACCTGCAAGTCCCTGTCGCTATCCTTGTAGATCATGGTGGAAGCTTTCTTCGTGATGGTGTTCCGTAGCTCGTTCGTGTCCTCATTGTTTTTGGTGATCGTTTTGTTGATGTCGTCAACTTGCCCTTGTAGCTGCGCTGCTGCTTCCATTGCTGAAGTCGCCGTGGTGGATGCTAGATTTGCGGTGTCGCGGATATCGTTGATGTCAGTCGAGTGCAGGCGCACCATCTTGTAGAGATCGACGGGGACCTTCCTGTCCGACATCTTGGAGAGGTCGGGGTCGTTGCCCTTCTTGTGCTTGCCCTCCGGCGATTGACCCACTGTAGGTGCCCCCTTGCGGATCATTCCTCCAAAATCGAGCACGCAAGAGAAGTCAACAATCGAGTGCACAATCCGTAGAAAGAGTATCGAGCGAACGAGCGGGCGAAGGGGAAGGGGGGGAGAAGCGGCGACGGGAGGAAGGGCGGGGCGGACACGCAGGGGCGAAGGTCCGATGGAGGAGAGGGGGAAGGAGGGAAGAGGGGAGAGAGGAGAGGAGGACGAGGGGAGGGAGGACGAGAGAGGACGGAAGGAGGGGGAGGAAAAGGGGAACGATCGTGGGCGTCTTGGCGTGGTCTTAGGCGTCTCGAGGCACGCTTGGACCGACATGGGCGCGTCTTGGGGCAATGTTTGGAGCCTCTTGGGCTGTCTTGGTTGCTACTGGGCCGTCGTTGGGGCCTCTTTGGCCGTCTTGGGGCTCTCTTGGGAGCCTCTTGGACCAGCTTGGGACGGTCTTGGGGGCCTCTTGGGCCGTCTTGGAGCGTCGGGACGACGAAAAAATGAGGAAGCCAAAAACCTTTAAAAGCCTGAAGGGGAGCAATGATTTTGGCTGTTTGGGTCCCTCTTGGGAATGCTCTTGGGGTAGTCTTGGGACGCTTTGGACGCAACTTGGGCCATCCGGGAACCATCTTGGGCGTCTTGAAGCGGTCTTAGGCGCGTTGGGGCACGCCTTGACCGTCTTCGACGCCTCTTGGGCCGTGTTTGCAAGCTCTTGGGCGGTCTCAGCCGCCTAGTGGGTTGTTTTTAAGCCCTCTTGGGCCGTTTTGGGGCGCTCTTGGGGGCCTCTTGGGCGATCTTAGGACGGTCTTGGGGACTTCGTGGGCTGTCTTGGAGGGTCGGGACGACGAAAAAAACAAGAAAACCAAACACCTGCAAAAAACCAACGGAAATCAATGATTTCGGCCTCTTGCAGCCCTCTTGGGAATGCTCTTGGGGCTCTCTTGGGACGTCTTGGAAGCCTCTTGGGCCATCTGGGAGCCATCTTGGGCGTCTTGGAGCGGTCTTAGGCGCGTCGAGGCACGCTTTGACCGTCTTCGACGCCTCTTGGGCCGTGTTTGCAAGCTCCTGGGCGGTCTTAGGCGCCTATTGGGTTGTTTTTTAGGCCCTCTTGGGCCGTCTTGGGGGCGCTCTTGGGGGCCTCTTGGGCGATCTTGGGACGGTCTTGGGGACTTCGTGGGCTGTCTTGGAGGGTCGGGACGACGAAAAAACAAGAAAACCAAACACCTGCAAAAAACCAACGGAAATCAATGATTTTGGCCTCTTGCAGCCCTCTTGGGAATGCTTTTGGGGCTCTCTTGGGACATCTTGGAGGCCTCTTGGGCCGTCTGGGAGCCATCTTGGGCGTCTTAGATCGATCGTAAGCGTCTCAAGGCACGGGGCCCAACGCGTGGACCGTCCTTCCGGCGCCTCTTGGGCCGGACTAAAGGGCGTTCCCGGAAGGCCCGATCCCGCCATGGGGGGTTGCGGTCCCCGGCCAGGGGGCCCCCGGCCCTGTAGCCCGGTAATATATATATAAATATATATATATAAAAATTATAATATATATATTATATATATACATACATACATACATACATACATACATACATACATACATACATACATACATGGGAGGTTGGGGGGGAGTGCGAGGTGAAACGGAGACCCCCCCTACCAAGAAATCGATTTCGGTTCCTGGTTCGTGTCGTGCGTGCCGTGCGTGCGGGCGAGGCGAAGCTGCGTGGGCGCGAGAGGAAATCCTCCTGGCTGGGCCGCGGCCGGACCAAATGTTTCTCCTTCGGCGGCCGGTGGCCCGCGGTGTCCCGCTGGTGTCCCGAAATCCTCCTGTGGCTGGGCCGCGGCCGGACCAAATGTTTCTCCTCCGGCGGCCGGTGGCCCGCGGTGTCCCGCCAGTGTCCCGCTGGCTGGGTAGTCGAAGCCAATCTGGCGCCAATCTGGCAGGCCCAATCTAGCAAACGGGGGCAATCTGGCGAGGGAGCCAACGCGAATCCAGTCTGGCGAATAACCCAAATCATCCAGTTTGGCCGGGCCAGATTGGCCCTGGGGGCTCAATCCAATCTGACAGTCTGGCCTTCGACTACCCAGGCTGGTGTCTCGAAATCCTCCTAGGACAGCGCTTCACGACAATGTCGAGTGCGCTTCGCCGACATCGCCACATCACATCACGCTCACGTGCACAATCACACTACTCACTAGACTCCGCCCCACAGGCATCGTCAGAACAACAATCACCACTGTTCCCCATTGCTGCCCCCCCCAACTTCCTCATCACCCGCAGGATGGTCGTATAGGTAGATATACACTGGTAGAGACGCATCGCTTGGCGCATACCCGCCTGGTAAGTAATCCAAGGGTGCGCACACAAAGCGTAGCGAAATTCCTCGCTGCCCCTGGAGTGAAAAGAGTGAACAACAGGACATGACATTGATATTTCCCGACGGAGACGCATCAGCCTGGCGCGCACTTATCTGGTCGATTGCCCAAGGATGTGCGCGCAAGGTGGAGACGCCAGCTCTTGGAAGTGAAGAAATGCATCAAATTCACTTGGCTGGCCGCAGGCGGACCACCTGCAAGCCAGCATTGCAGCCTGACGCGCCTTGGCGCAAGCGGCACACATACTGAGGCGCGAGCGACACACATACTAGCCTGATGATACAGGCTCCGCGTCGTGCTAAACACGTTGCGCCGACTCGTGCTCATCGATCTCCGCGTCCTGCTCCGACTAATTGACCTCAACCTCCGCGTTGTGAATGCCGCGCTGGGGTGTTGGGCCCCTGCCACGGCCAAGACACTCGAGCCCCACCAGGCAGCCCAGCGCGACGCCGCAGACCAAGAACAAGATCAACAAGAAGAAGATCAAGACACCAGCGAAGACCGCAATTAATCCCCATGGCTCGGTGGTGGCTGTGGTGTTTGACGTGTCCGAACTCGTGCCCGTATCGGTGGTCGTCGTGGCCGTCTTGGTGGTGGTGGTAGTAGTGCTTGACGTCGCGGAACTCGTGCCCGTATCGGTGGTCGTCGTGGCCGTCTTGGTGGTCGTCGCGGTGGTCGTCTCAGTTGTTGCCTCGGTGAAGTCGAACACGTACGCGGAGCCTGAATTGTAGCCCTGGTCGTCGTCATAGTAGGCCCCCACCACCACGCGGGCCCCGTCGGAGCTCACGGCCACCGAGGAACCGAAAAAGTCGAGTTCGGCCCCATCACTCGCCACAAGCTTCAGCAGCCTCTCGCCGGTGGTACCGTCGAGCACGTACGCGGAGCCGGAACCGGAGCCCTGGTCGTCGTCAGATCTGCTCCCCACCACCACGCGGGCCCCGTCGGAGCTCACGGCAACCGAGTAACCGAACCAGTCGTAAGCAGCCCCATCACTCGCCACAAGCTTCAGCAGCCTCTCGCCGGTGGCCCCGTCGAGCACGTACACGGAGCCTGAATTGTAGCCCTGGTCGTCGTCGCGGTGGGCCCCCGCCACCACGCGGGCTCCGTCGGAGCTCACGGCCACCGAGAAACCGAAACGGTCGTCTGCAGCCCCATCACTCGCCACAAGCTTCAGCAGCCTCTCGCCGGTGGCCCCGTCGAGCACGTACACGGAGCCGGAACTGGAGCCGTCACCATAGGCCCCCACCACCACGCGGGCCCCGTCGGAGCTCACGGCCACCGACTCACCGAAAAAGTCGAAGTTGGCCCCATCACTCGTCACAAGCTTCAGCAGCGTCTCGCCGGTGGCCCCGTCGAGCACGCACACGGAGCCGGAACTGGGGCCCTGGTCGTCGTCACCTAAGGCCCCCACCACCACGCGGGCCCCGTCGGAGCTCACGGCCACCGAGGAACCGAACCAGTCGTCTGCAGCCCCATCACTCGCCACAAGCTTCAGCAGCCTCTCGCCGGTGGCCCCGTCGAGCACGTACACGGAGCCGGACTTGTCGCCCTGGTCGTCGTCATATTTGTTTCCCACCACCACGCGGGCCCCGTCGGAGCTCACGGCCACCGACTCACCGAACCAGTCGTCTGCAGCCCCATCACTCGCCACAAGCTTCAGCAGCGTCTCGCCGGTGGCCCCGTCGAGCACGTACACGGAGCCATGAACAATTTGCTGATAGTCTTCGTAGTAGTAGTAGTAGTAGTAGTAGTCAAGTAGTAGTAAGTAGGTAGTGTTAGTAAAAATAAAGTAGTAGTAGATAGTAGTGTAGTAATAAAACTAAAATGTAGTAGTATAGTAAAGTAGTAGTAAGTAGTAAAACGGCCCCCACCACCACGCGGGCCCCGTCGGAGCTCACGGCAACCGACCCACCGAACCGGTCGTTGTCGACCCCATCACCCGCCATGAGCTTGAACAACTGCGCGCCGCTGGTAGACAGGCGCCTCCCGAACTCGGCCTGCGGCTCGCGAGGGCGACCGCTCGCCGAGCCCTCCACCCTCGGGCGGGCCAGCGTCCCGCTCGCCGGCGACCCGGCGCCCGGGGCGCCGCGCGACCAGCCCCGATGGCTTGCCCAAGACATTCCTTGTTCGGATTCACCGTCATCATATGGTTACAGCATCATCATTGCTCTTGTCTTTTACACTGGAATTCCTTGGTGATGCTTTCCGAAGGATTCCTTGTGTGAGGCTTTTAAATATAATCCCTTTGTGGTGCTTTCCAAAGGATTTTTTTTTTTTGCGAGGCTTTCCAATAGAATATTTTCGTGGTGCTTTCCAAAGGATACCTGCTGTGAGGCTTTCCAATAGAATCCCTTTGTTGCGCTTTCCAAAGGATTCCTTTTTGTGAGGTTGTCCA